ACCAACTTTATAATCCAGTCCTTTCCTATTGCAAGAACTAAATGCTGAATGTCCAGCATCTCTAAGTTACCTGGGTCTACTTCTGAAATCCTGATTCCCAAACCACTGCGAAATACTATGAAACATACAATATAAAGCTGAACCAAACTATCATTTAACATTTAATAATTGCAAATATATTTATTACAATTTACATTAGTCAACAGTTATATACACAAATATAATTTTAGCTATAAAACTTCAAACTAATTACATTGGGATCATTGAATTTGCAGGAATCAATTTTGAATTTTTCTTGTTCCCTAATTTCCTTCCTTAAATTATAAAAAAATAAAATCTGATGAAGTGGTGTTATCACGTTTCATCACTAAGAAATGGAATTGTTTTCTGTTTGTACAAATCACATGCTACATTGACACCGAAAGCACCATTACAGGACTTTAAACCGTGTAAAATGTTCAATCAGAACTTCTAAAGATTTTCTTTGTAAGATTGTGGAGGGTTAACGTTCTAACTAGAATTGGGATGAAATTAACAAGAATTTTGTTTTTATCCTTCAGTTCAATGTCAAAATGGTCCATTCTGTCCTTTTCATCACTGTCTGATCACTTCTTCTAAAGAAGGGCAGTATATAGGGGGCAGTGCCTGTGGCTCAAAGGAGTGGGGCACCGGCCCCATATGCTGGAGGTGGTGGGTTCAAACCCAGCCCTGGCCAAAAAAAAAAAAAAGGGCAGTATATAGAATTAACCAAGCTTTATTTAGTAGTGAGGTTGAAATACCATAGGGTACAAATCTTTCAAAATCCAATGAAAAATGTCCCACAGGGCGGTACCTGTGGCTCAGTGAGTAGGACACCAGCCCCATATAACGAGCGTGGCATGTTCAAACCTGGCCCTGGCCAAACTGTAACAAAAAAATAGCCAAGCATTATGGTGGGCACCTGTAGTCCCAGCTACTCAAGAGGCTGAGGCAAAAGAATTGCCTAAGCCCAGGAGTTGGAGGTTGCTGTGAGTTGTGATGCCACAGCACTCTATTGGGGGCAATAAAGTGACTGTCTCAAAAAAAAAAAAAAAAAAGAAAAGAAAGAAAAATGTCCCATTATTTTCAAATACCCAGGTGCTAGATTTCAGAAACAAAAATACAACCTAAATATAAGTTGAATTTAATATAATGCTTCCATTTTGTTTTAAAAGAATGCCTATATGTTGCCAAAAAGCTTTTGGTTTTGACTGGGTATGGTAACTCATGCCTGTAATCCTAGCACTCTGGGAGGCCAGGGTGGGTGGACTGCTTGAGCTTAGTAGTTCAAGACCAGCCTGAGCAAGAAAGAGACCTGGTCTCAAAAAACAAAAAAAAATTTTTTTCAATTAGCCAGGAGGCTGAGGGTAGAGGATTGCTTGAGCCCAGGGATTTAAGGTTGCAGTCAGCTATCATGATGCCACTGTACTCTAACTGGGGAAACAGGGTGAGTCTCTATCTCAAAAAAAAAAATAGCTTATTTCAAGACAAATGATGCTTACTTACCAACTGACATAGGTGGTGCTTTGAAACTAACCTGTTTTCATAGTGTTATACCAAATTCTGTAAATGCATTCCCTACAATTACCAAAAGTGTAGGTACACAAAACACATAGAATAAGGGCTCTACAAAAGACTGACCAACTTTTATGGGTTGCACTCTCAGTGCTTAAGTGCATGAATATATAAACACTGGAGGCAGTTCTTAAAGCAAACCAGATAGAAATAAAATAAATGACCAGGTAGATTATAAACTGAGGTAGTAACCCTATAAGCACTTCTGTTGAAAAATTAATCCCCACAGTGAAATAAGCTCAAAATATTCTGCTTATGTTCTCCATTACCTGTGACACGAGGCACCTGGAAAAAAAACAAACTATTAAAGAGTTGGTTAAGAATCCCTCAGCCAACCAGATGCACACCTCATAAAGCTAATTAAATAAATCAAGCATGACTAGTCAATGCAAAGACTTCAATTCAAAAAAAGTAGACTTCCTAATTGCTGAATCTGTAATTCTATTCTTTCTGACAGTATGGGCCTTGACATTACCTCTCTTATTATTAAATTAGAATACAATAAATCCAGATATTGTTGAAGTTTATATTTTACATTTCAGCTTGAAAATTTAGAACTGCCCATTTCAAGTTTACAGTGTCATCCTGACAGGTTTTAAAAGTGACAGTGCTGAGGCTTGGTATTAATAACACTGGTTTTATGTTGAGAGCATACACAACAAAACCAAATTACTCTGAGATGTCTCCTGACATCCTCCTAGGAAAACACTAGGCTTTTGTTTAAAAAATAAATGCCTATGATACAATTAGTACTTTCTAGAGTGTTTTACAATTTGTACCTGTTATAAGGTACAAAGAAACACATTCAACGCGGAACCACAACATATACAGAACCATCTCCAAAGAACAATTTGCACAGAAATTGAATATGTTAGGTGTTAATATTTGGCAGACAGATACAGCTTTCCCAACGTAGCCAAGATTTTTGTGGCAATCCACAGAAACATCTTAGGTAGAACCTAATAAAAATCTACCACACATTTTTAACCAAATCCATTTTTACAAGGAAAAATAAGTGACACAAGATAATGTACTTTAAGTTAGTAGCATATATAAGATTATTTTTTTAAACATAAGAGAGCTAGGCCTAATCACAGAAATTAAAAAATATAGAGAAACATAGAAGCACACTGATTTCAAACAAGAAAGAGCACAAAGTTTTCAGACAGCATTATGTAACTTAAACTAAAACTGAAATGGGCTTTAGGCCCTATAAATATTATTTTCCAAGACAATTTAAGTTTTGAAAGTGCAAAAGGACAACTCTAAACAAGCAAAGGTCATTTAAAACCAACAATAAAGGGTGGCACCTGTGGCTCAAAGGAGTAGGGCGCCGACCCCATATGCCAGAGGTGGTGGTTTCAAACCCAGCCCTAGCCCAAAAAAAAACAACAAAAAAACCCCCAATCTCTTCATCATCAGGAATGACTTTAAACCTGAATGTTTCTAAGTGGGATATGTTGCCCAAAAAAAAAAAAAAAAAAATCAAATCACGGGATCCAAGTTACACTTCCTCTAAAAACAGGTCAAAAGACAGCTGCCAATTTTGTTTTTAAAAGAAACCTCTCAATAAGAGGTAATGTATGTTAGGGCAACAGGCTGTCATATGTAACTCATCTTAACATTGCTCAAAAACGTGAAGTCCTTTGAAGCATGTTCCCTGGAGTCTATTATATACTCTTTCTCTGTGCTCAAATGTCAAGCAATATCCAATAGCATCTTCTGTTTCTTGAATTCGTTTCTGGAACCTGCATCCATCCCTTGCAAATTCTTCCCATGGTCCTTTGCGATCCTCATCACCACTTATATAATACTCAGTAACTTCTTCAAGGAAGGTTACCTAAAAAGACAAAGACTAATTTTAATAACTCTAGGATCTCACAATTAGCATTAATGTCAATAACTCTTATGTTCCTAATTCTTTTAGAATATAGACTATCTTACAGGCCCAACTATATCTAAAGTTAATTTTTTTTTTTTTTTTGGTAGAGAGAGTCTCACTTTGTTGCCCTTGGTAGAGTGCCATGGTGTCACACAGCTCACAGCAACCTCCAACTCCTGGGCTTAAGCCTCAGGCTTAATTCTCTTGCCTCAGCCTCCCGAGTAGCTGGGACTACAGGCGCCTGCCACAACGCCCAGCTATTTTTTGGTTGCAGTTCAGCTGGGGCTGGGTTTGAATCCACCACCCTCAGTATATGGGGCCAGCAACCTACTCACTGAGCCACAGGCACCGCCCTAAAGTTAAAAATTTTTTTTAAAAGCCCTGGCATGGTGGCTCACACCTGTAATCCTAGCACTTTGGGTGGCGGAGGCAGGTGGATTGCTTGGGCTCAGAATTCTGAGACCAGCCTGAGCAAAAAGAGACCCTCATCTCTACTAAAAATAGAAAAACTGGTACCATCTATAGCTCAGTGAGTGGGGCACTGGCCACATACACTGAGGGTGGTGGGTTCAAACCCAGTTCGGGCCAGCTAAACAACAATGACAACTGTAACAACAACAACAAAAAAAATAGCTGGGCACTGTGGCAGGTACCTGTAGTTCCAGCTATTTGGGGTTCTGAGGTAAGAGAATCACTTAAGCCCAAGAGTTGGAGGTTGCTGTGAGCTGTGAGCTGTGA